CATTACTTAAGCGGTCATAAACGACATCTTGGAGATGTTGGACTCATAATATGGCATCGTTGCTGCTCTAATTCGATTCTTATTTATAAAAAATGACAGAAAGGTGTTGAATGCAATGGCAATCGATATTTTGCAAGGAGTTGTTACCCTTAATGACTTAATACCCAAATTAATTGTTGAAATTATACCTCAAAAAGGTTCAGATGCAAAGTGCTAAATGTTCCTGAGCCAATACTTTGATCGACAGCCCCACTTAAATGTTAGAAGTTATATAGTCGCTTATTCTCCATGGTCAGTAGCGCCTCAAGAAGTATAAGATGCTTAGGAAATAATTTGATCTCTAACCCATGCTCAATCCCGCGCAACTTTATCTACAAACGATTGAAAGCGTTCTCACAACTAAAAAAATGGCGTCAAGTGGGGTGACTTTGCACTGATCACGCAATTCTGTCATTATTTCATCAAGGATTGTGTCCAGTTAATCACTCTGGACAAGAGCTACTTGCTAACAAGGGGAAAAATCGCTAAGAGTAGATTGACTCTTCTACGCAACAATGTCGCCAGTTCATAAAGGATTGTGTTTGACACAAGTTAACCACTCTGCGAAAAAAGGTAGCTGCTATCATAGGGAATAAAGTTGCTGGGAGAAAGTGGCACCAGTTATAAATGATTATGTTCGGTACAAGCTAGCCACTCTGAGAAAAAAGTTCGCTACGAACATAAGGAATAGAATCACTGAGAGAAAGTGGCGTCAAGTAGATTGACTCGTCACTTCCTACGCAACGCTTTCGTCAGTTCATAAAGGCTTATGTTCGGTCCATGTTTGAACTAGCCACAAGCATGTATAATAAAAATTCAAATACATCATGTCAGTCATACAGGTCCATACAATTAGTCCGTAGTCCCCACCCATTCGACCACGTTGCATTCAAGAAGCTTCTTTTCTGCCGTGCCGACCATCTGGAAAACTAGTGTTATCCAGAAACGTCTGTGTTGAAAATATTTCTTTATCATCCTGTTTTAAGGGCAAACGTATGAGGAAATCTATGGTGTGTGAAACCTGACTCGAACGTGCACAGAAATACCGGCATTGGAACCACATAAATACAAAAACAACATGGGATATACTCCCCCTTTCTCTACAACCCCCATCCCATAATTTTAAATTCCTACAAAAAATATACTGAAATCAGGAACCTCTGAAACGTCAAAACCGACTCTTTTATTTCTTTTTATTTTTTGCCTCTAAAGATGTTTTGTCATTGGAATGGTCGTAACCCTGAGTGACAAATTCATCAAAATCTGGGCGTTACTTTCCAATTTATGAACGGACAGACCGCCAGACAAACATCATTTTCATTTTTTTTTTTCGCGATTACAATACTTCCTCGTCAGTAACGTGAGAAGTAAAACACACATATATGCAATACTATTATTTTGTTATCGTAGGCAGACAATTCCAATCAGTACCAAATCAAAATAAATTATAATCAAATTCAAGAAATGTTGACGTAGACGTAAACCACCAGGACTAAAAAATATGCAAGACCACCTACCCCAACTTTTCTGGCGTAATAAGTGGGTCTCTGATGTCATCAGATCAATATCTTTGCTTTTTTAAATCAAAGGGTTGAAGACGATGCGACCGGGTGTACAAGCGTTAATTCCGAGTTCGTTCTCTATCATTGTAGGGTGAAGAGACCGTCGAAAAATTGTAGGGATCAGAAAGCTTTTTAATGCGATGTTTTAAGAAGCTGGGAAGTGGAATACCTTGAATTTTATGGTGTTGCTGCATTGCTTTTACGTTACTTTCGTTTTTTGGAGGTGTCTTTAGTTTATTACAGAGAGTGATATAAATGCTGCAAAAAGAAAAGTATTGAAAAATCAGGCAGACGTGTAGGCCATGTCATATCTAATTTATAAATTGTTGGGATTCGGTCATTGACTGGCCCACAAACTACCTACATGTATCTGGCAGAAATGTAACTATTTTTACTAACTCAAATGTATCTGAACATCGCGTTTAAGATCGCCGAAACGACGTTCTTCTTTATATGAAGAATTTAAAAATTAAATTGATATCAACGGGCAAGAATCCAAAACTGCAAGGTATGTCATAGTAAAATCGCTATAAATGCTAACCAATAGTCAGTCAAAAGCTTGTGGAAATGGATGACGGCAAAAATTTAGGCAAAAAGTCGAAAAAGACTAAAACCTACGCTTTTCGACATTTCAACGTCTCGTCTCCATTTTCGGATTTATTTTTGATGGGTCACTCATAAGTTTTTCCTAAAATTTTAATATTTGAAAATGTTATCAGAAGCCGTGAGGTATAGAGTGAAGCTACCTGATGTTTTACAGTACTTTTCATCTTGTAGTCAGAACAATGATCATACCCGTATCACCGTAATAACCTTTTTTCTAATTATATTCATTAATTACAAACGTGTAGTGTCTATCAAAAAGTGCAAGTAACGTGAATCCAATATCCGAGTACAATTTGCAAGACGCCTGTCGGGTGCGGAAGGACTTCCTTTGGCCGCTACATTTTCAAGTATACGCTTATCATAACCAGATTATTCTCATTCGGGACAAGGTCAAACACCAACATAGTCTGAGATCACCACGCACCATGGACTGACCATTATCAATGAACAGATAGCAACATCCAAAGATCATTACAGGTGGCGCTGTTCATTGACAAATCAAAGACCATGTTCGCACTATAGGTGGATCACCCTGTTACTAATGCTACTCTAAGCACAGCGCATGATGTATATGAACTGGTGTTGCGCCATGTCTTAGCCCAAAGTGGTGTTAACCCACGGTGTAAACATGGCCAATGATTCTAACCCTTGGATAGCCAAATTTGGGGCTACTTGGCTTGCCCAGGTGGTTAATGAGACTAAAGGCCGCATAGACACGTATGCTACTCGTACGTTTTAAGTAGTCACCCATATGTAGTGTATGTGTGGTACCAAATGGTCTGTTTTGTCCCAACAAAGGAGAAGTTACAATTTTTTTGTCACGTCAAAGAGAAGTTAAAGAAAACGAAACATGGGTGGGAAAAAACCATCGACTTATCTTTAAAGACAAAAAAGTTATACGACGTCTGACGTCACGAAACCGTATGTAAGCGGCTGGCCAGCTGGACGTTCCAATACAAGATTAATTAATTAATTACAAGAAAAAGGTTGTTTTAAACACTTTATTTTTCTACAGCGATTAAAACACCAAATACATATTTTTCTACATACCTTTGCATGAAAACAGCAGAACGGTCCGCAATTTATCAAGAATTTTCTGATTGAGGAAAAGACTATGTATCTGTACGCGTAATGACCACATGTAGTTAGATATTGCAAATACTAAATCTTGCATCACAACTTAAAACGAATGAGTAGCATGAGTTTTTATGCCAGCCTTTAGACTGAAGTCGGAATAATGTACACAGCAAAGCCATGTGTATAGTGAAGAATAGAGTGTGAAGTCTAGATGTTTACCCAACACTTCTTCACTAATTCATCTTTGTTGTTGACAATATTATGAATGCAGCAATGTTTATGATTCCAATCGAAGCGCACATTTGAAATATTATATAAGCACGCACACTTCCAAACTAGAAAGTACTGAAATTACTGAGTTTTGATGGTAGTGTCTGCAGATGGTCACAATCTGGTGCATTTACTCTTATCTACTCGTTCAGCATTTTGATTGCATCAAATTGGGATAGTCCATTTTCCAGATTTGGACTTTTTGTATGGAATCCTGGACTAACCACCTCATTCTGACAGCCTGAATTCTGTCGGCAAGATTGTAACTGCCCTACCTTACTGCAAGGTGATCGACAGATCACAATTTATATGTTTGATTTATATTTATCGTTTCGCTATAATTAATATCATTATTGCCATTATGGACTTTTTTCATATTCTAATTAGCAAACACTTGGCGTAATCTGTCGTACGTAGGCTTCACAACTAAGTGAATGCCAATGATAACAAAGACTGGAAAATATAGGCAGGCACATGCTTCAAGATATTATTGGCCAAAAATTACGTATATACTAAATTTAGTTACATTGCTTTACCATGACAGCTGGCTATGTTGTGATTTTTATAGGAAAGGCGTGGATGCTGTAACTAGGTTTCAAAGTTGTGATTGGGTTTGCAAGACATGAAACTTTTATGTGATGATGATATTGATTGACAAATGTCTTTGCAACTTTGCAAACTGAACGAGGTTGACCGGTTTCCTATAACATTTACAGGAGTTTCTATGAGAAACTTCATATACACTTTCACAAGAAACAAATGTCTTGAAATGTAAATAACTTGAAAGCATTAAGGTGTGCCTGCAAAATATTTAAAGCAAATTATATTGTCTAGTTTCTGTTACATCAAATCCCAAAGTTAACAAATAATGTTTTCCGTTCTCTTGATTATGGTAGAACATCAAAACATCTGAAAAGCTGATAAATAAACACTTTCCGTACTTGATGCTCGGAATGAACTTTTATTATTTGGGGACATCATCCCAGACCTACTTTAAATCATATATTTCAAATCTATGTATATCTGATAGTCTTTAAGTAAAGAAGATGAAGCTCCGACAATATCCAATGCATCAGAAAGAATGTAAGCTCTCAGGGCTGCGGGACATTACTTGGCATGTTCTGAAAGACACGACGTGGGCATGGATATAGCGTTTATAAGTAGTTTCGATGCCTGTGTATCTGTTAAGTTGGGTAGAGAGTCTAGCTACTGGTACCAAGTGAGAAAGACTGATTGAAAATTAGACCAACTTGAATTCTGATGGTTGATTTTTACATAATATGCTTTGTAAAACATTATCACAAAGTAATATTCACCAGACGTTTAAAACAGTGCTCCATGTGAACTGATATCTCTCTTGCTTATTTGTATGACGGTTAGAAAAAAAGTTTCGTGTAATAATTGTCGGGTCTTTGTAATTGTATACAGGATTTCTCAGAATATAATTTATTTTTCAAACGGCGCGCTTGATTCAATAACACTGGCACCCTTTAACCTGAAAATAAATTAGATGAAAAATTATATACTATACTGTAACTTTTATATGGAACATGCACTCATACACCATACAAAAAAGTTGAAGGGACATTAATTCATAGCGGAACACCTTGTTTAAAACGTCTGGGAGAAGTTGTTGCCGGCGGGAAGTATCTCGTAGTGCTGAATATTACCTTGTAATAATGTTCTACGACGTATAGTCAACGCCAAACAAAGTGGCGTGCACGTCATCACGATAAAAATTCCCCGACCTAATGCCTAGGTTTCTATCACAAACAATTGCTCTATTGCAGTTTCATATTAATGTGATATATAAATTGTTAAATGGTCATTACTCTCTTATTATGGTTAATAGTCATATAAACAATGTTATTAAAATATCACATAAGTTGCTTTCTGATAAATTTAGACGCATTATGCGAAATAAAATGTTTTCCAAACGCTCCAATCACTTATCGACATGTAAACGCACTAAACCGATTTCGCAGCGTTGACACATTGTCACCTTGAAACTTATTTAAACTGGGAACTGACATTTGTATTAATTTTGACACTGAATCAATTTGTGGCATTTCAAATCTTTATAAATCCTTTGGCCCCGCATACTGTAAATCAACAACTGTTTGTTTCAAAACAAAATTATTCATTTTACGAGTAGATAAAGGCAATTTTGGTATATAAAGATGCCCAAACAGTTAAATAGTCGGTGTAAGGAACTCGTGGCCTCGTTAATGCACTACTTTGAGCAAGAAAGGGACAACAACGGACCTTTGTTGCCTTTAAATGCTGTTCAAGAGGTAACATAGGTCACTAATAATTATATGTAATGTATATTAATAATAGTGAAATTTTATTTCATTTTTTGTAGCGTGTTGCTGCTGCTTTAAAAATTAGTTTAAGGACAGTTAGTCGTATTTCCGAGGGTGTGAAAAGTGATGCAAATTTAGAATCGCCCAAGAAAAAGCGGAGTTATATTAAACGTGTAACCGACACAGCGACATTGGATACAAGTGCCATTCGAGAAGTGATCTATAATATGTATCACAAAAGTAAGATCTTATTATAATAACTTATCAGAAATTTGCATTAATTTGTTAACTAAATTATAATGTCATATTACACATGGTTTCAGAAGAACAAGTTACGATACAAACTTTATGGTCTCGATTAAGAGATAGGGCATTATTTGATGGTAGTGCCACGTCTTTAAGGCGGTTGCTTAGAGATCTTGGATTTAAGTGGCTTAAGGACAATCCGCGACGAGGGCTCATGGAACTACCAAGTATAGCTTTGAAAAGGGTGGAATTTCTAAGGCAATACAATCAAGCCAAGGTTGAGGCCTTATACCAGTTTGTCTTCCTCGATGAAACTTGGATATTTCAAAATGGGACCATAGGTCGCTCTTGGCAAAATGGAAACCAAAAAAGCGTGAAAGCTATTAAAACAGATGGTAAAAGGTATGTACTTTTACACAATTTGCACTATAAAATTTAAAACTAATATATTTTAGATACATTATATTACATGCTGGAAATGAAAATGGGTTTATTGAGGGTAGTGAAGCGATATTTTCTTCGAAAACAAAATTGAGCGATTACCATGGAGAGATGAACCAGGACAATTTTTTGAAATGGTTTCAACATCAGTTATTAGAAAAATTGGAGAGTCCATCTATGATTATACTGGATAACGCCCCTTATCACAGCATGATATTGAACAAAGTGCCCAACAATGCATGGACAAAAAAAAATATCCAAGACTGGTTGACAAATCAAAACATACCATTTTTAAACACAATGTTTAAAACAGAGCTATTGAGTATTGTTGCTCGGTACATAATGCTTCTTAATTATATATATTTTGGTCGACAGTTTATATTTCTTTTGTTTATTCCTATTCTTAAAATAACTGCTTTTTTAGAAACAAACCACCTAAAATATACGTGATTGATGAATTGGCGGAACAACATGGGCACAAAGTTCTTCATCTGCCTCCTTACCATTGTATATTTAACCCTATTGAGTTAATTTGGGGCATAGCAAAAGGTTACTATAACAGACATATTGGTAGAGATGGTAACAGTGAAAAAGACTGTTTGGATATGTGGAACGAGGCTCTACAAACGGTTACCCCAGACATGTGGAAAAATAGTGTTCGACATACTGAGCAAGAAATTTTTAAATGGTATGAAAGAGAACGAATTTTTGATCGACCAGACATCAAACCTTTAATAATCAACTTTGAGAGTGATGAAGATTCAGATTCAGACAGCGCTGAAGAAAGAAACTCCGACTAACTTTATTGTACAGAAAAAGCTTACACCAGTAGCTTACCTAATTTTAGAATGCATTTTTCTGTATGAATTCTGTAAAATAAATACCATGCATAAAATTTGGAGGACCCCATTTGGATTTTTATTCAGTACCTTTAAGCTATCAATTAAATATGGTAGTTTCATAGTGTCATCTGATCAATAATTGTCATACTTAATGATTATGCAAGTACAGATCTATAATTTTATTATACTATTATTTTTGTTCTCATTTGAGGTTAATATTGCTTATAAACCTAGATATGTAAATAATAAATTTTATTATTTTACAAAAAGTTTGGCAACAATGTAAATTTTTCAACACACCCACCTTGATGACGTGCACGCCACTTTGTTTGGCGTTGACTATATATATATATGTTACGGTTGAAGTACTACTGAGCTAGATTATAGACTAGCTGGATCGTATACAAACTGTCCATATGTCTGGTTACTTTGATGGAAAATGAACCTTTCACTAAATATCTACGAATATTGGTTGGTTTGTATACTATCCAGTTAGTCTATAAACGGCACAAGATTTAACACCAAGGTACAAACTTCAACAATATTTCATAAATTAACAAGAATTTTTGGCTAGTTAACAAACTATCCACAGTAGGTAGATAAAGTGTGAGCTCAGCACTCCTAGTAATATATAATAGCCAGTTCGTTGGTTAGTATTGTAAACTAACTAATCCTCTGGTTAATTCATTGGAAAAGTGAGGTTTGTAGGTGGTTTGTTGGAAGCATTTGTTATTGCTTAGTATCGTATCTTGTGAAATTCGTTCCTAAATAAGCATCCAGCTAATGAAATTAAATCAACAGCAAGAATTCGAAAAAATACTTTATGACCAAAACCAGAATTCAAAATTAATTAATGATAGTGATTATACTGAACGTTTGCAACGTATAAAGAGAATACGTGAATCTGGACCTAACCCTAAAAACAAGAATCATTATTATGTGGTAAATACTTATGATTTGCATATATAAAAAGTGTAAATGTTTTGCTACCGGATATACTTGTAACAGCAAGTGCTACAACAGTGCAACTTGCTCCAATAAATAATAATGTTCTTTGTTTCAGAACTTCAATGTTTTCGGATTTATTATTAATATTTTGCCACACAAATACTATTTCTATTACTTCCTTTTTCTGATTTTTGAGTAGTAACAGAAATGTTACGTTGTACCTAAATTAAGATATATTTTTGATAGAGAATTATTTTACTATCCTAAAAACTAAATTAGCCAAAGACGACTAAGCAACAAGTTGGTTATTATGTATTACTAGTGATATTAAGTTCACACTTTATCCAACTACTTTGGATAGTTTGTGAAGTAGCCACACATTCTGGTTAATTTATATAATTTTCTTGTGGTTTATGCTTTGTCGATAAATCCGGTATATTTTATAGACTAACTGGTATACAAACCAACCAATAGTAGTAGCTATTTTAGTGAAACTATGATGTTCCATCAAAATAACCATACCTTTGCATAGTTTATACACTATCCAGCTAATCTATAAACTAGCTAAGTGAATACTTTAACCGTAACATATATAAAAATCAGTTATCACAATTTAAGCATATACATATAAACGCTATTCAATGCCCTCGTTCAGAAAATAAGTAATGTCTGTCAGAACGGGGATCTTGGGATGGGGAACGTCCGCCGACGAAGTTACACATACCCCCGTCATATAGGGTAGAATCCAAACCTGTTTCCGAAAGTCCGGGTGCATTTCCCTCTGTTCCGGCAACAGCGATGCCCTAGCGTCGCCGTGCCGAGCCTACGGCCTAAACCTGTCACTCCGAAAGTTCTGCACATCCTCCCGTTCTGGCAAACCAGACCCCAGGCCATCGCATGTGCGTTGCTGCAACTGCACATGCACTTCTCCTCCTCGTCCGATTCCCAATATGGATTTTATTGGGGACGCAGCGGAGCGGGACCAGAGGCGGAGATCAAACGAAAACGCACAATGTAGAACTTTTCGGTGCGTCAGTATCTGTAACAAACTAGTAGCATAGCTTTCGTTCATCCAACCACAAAACGGCCAACCATGGGCAGCTGTTTCGTGCTGTTTGGGAACTCATCAGCATGGTCCAGGGCTGGTCCCAGGTAAGACAACCTAACGAGAGCTGAAAAACTATCCAGAGTATAAGGTCTATCGAAATAAGAAAGTGGCATCAACCACTGTGGCCGCTAGATGCAGCCGTTTCTGGTGACATAGTAGTAGTAACAAGGGAAACTGGGATACAGTTCCAACAGGCAGCTTGCTTATTTCACTCTCGCAGTGGTCGATTCTGGTAACAGATGGTACTTTATGCTGTTATTTCAATCAGTATCTTAGTTATCTATCTGCTACTTTGCTCCTGTTAACGCGTTTTAGGCCTGTTATACCGACCCGCCAGGTTTCTGCTTCTCGTGCTGACTCGATCAATCGTTGTGCGTCAGAATCTAGCTGAAATAATCGTTGAAGTTTCAGTAATATGACGAAATCTACCGGCTAAGGTTTCACTAACCTGGGCAGTTCAGAAATGGGATCAACAAGACTTTTTCAGGGTTTTAGGTTTTGTCCTCGGGTCTGCTCCAGTATAAGAAATAATTCCGACAATGCTAAGTATATCTACTTCAAATAAATCACCGAAAACACACCTCATATGTAAATAAGTTAAATGCAATAGTTTATAGGTTCCAGTTTTCTAAGAATGGTGGTCAAAGACGGCTTAGACCAGTTCTTTGTCCTTATTTTTCGCACTGAGCTTTTACGAAAAAATGTTTTACCCGAAAGTTGGGTTAGACTTAGATTGCAGGTTCACTGAGACCATGCTGACGTTAATCGATGAATTTATAAAAAAAGTTATTGCATACAAACTGTTGAATATGTATCGTTTTCAAATTGCTTAAATGAAAAAAGTACTCAATGAAACTCTGTAATACTATTGTCATTAGAAAGCAAAGCAGAAGAATGCCCTCATTGTTTGAAAATATTATAAGGTATGTAAGAAAAAATAATGTATAAACAAAATTATATTTTCTTAGATTGTGCGCAATTTTGCTTGACAGTAAACAGTTTACTAGGTCTTGTCGATGTTACGGAATACGATACTTTCCAAAATGCTTTTTTCAACTGAATATGCTGGCTATACATACGTCATTTGTAAGGAACATAACCTTTAATCCCTATCAATGGCAGTTTTATAGAAAAAATATGGTCACGTTCTGACGGTATCTATATCCAGACTAAAAGGCAAACACTTTCCTTCAATCTACGAATTCCATACACATTCTTTACAACACTAACTAGCTAAGAAAAGTGGACTTGGCTATTGAAAATGCAATTTTTTAATTTTTATTGTAAAACCCTTTCGATGTTCCGGAATCGCTACGCCACTGGTGCGGGTGCAGAGTAGGCATCAAAAAAATGCTGCGCGCACACACACACACATGCACATATACATACATATATAAATGTATATATGTGCGAACGAATATGCATTAGGGGTGGGGGAAAATGCAATGCTTCGACATATATAGCTGCTGATTCTCAAAAATGCTCGGTGCAGATATTATATAAATTAAACGGGCGAGCTGTATTAACTTTTTCGGAATTAAAATAATACATTACCCGGCCGCCAGTTGGCGCTACTGTCGAACGGATGGGGATGCAATTTTTAATGGTAAAATGCAAATGGGTGATAAATAACATCGCAGACGCATATTTATTAGGATGCGTTTTGGAATGAATGTGCTTTTGTTGATATTGGAAATATATGGAAAAAGCGAAAAAAGATATTAGTTTGATGCTGCTAAATTATTGGATGCTTTTATTAAATCCTGTCAGCTGCTACTTAAGCCATGGTGCGCTGGGTATTCACTAGCTATTGTAGCAAGTGTTCATTTACGAAAACAGTGTTATGCCTTACAATTTTTTTAATGTTTTGAATATAAGCAAATTCTTGGGAAAATGGCGTGAAGGAACTGTTTACGTCAGCTTGGTTGGTGATGACCAACGTCAGTTCCCCCCTGACGGTGTTACGTCTGACAGTTACTTCCCTCATAGTATGGTGAACCCTTGTTATATTTTTCACACGTCCATGGTAGTATTGGTTGCGCAAAGATTTTGGCTAACTATCAGGTGACCAGTTTAACTGGAATTGTCATAAGAAAAGATTGCTTGATCCCTCTGAAAGTACGCTTATTCAATATAATCTCCCTTAAGTTCAATAGACTTCTTCCAGCGATTTCCTATTTGATTGATAGGTTCAATTGCTCCAAAAGACCCGTCTACAGCTGTAGTCACTTCTTCATTTGGATTTCTTAAATCATAAAAACAAATTAAAGCTAGAAACTGAATCTGATGAACAGGGTAGATTTCCAAGCAGTTCGAAACATAGTTGACTGATTTTTCCCATTGCCAGAGCACTCTCTGTATTGTCCTAATGAAAGATGATTTTTGTCGTCAGTAAACCTGGTTACTCTTTTGTTATAGTTGTACTTATGCATTTGCAACTTGATCTAGATGTTGATGGAAAGGTCTTACTAGAATTTCCTTTTGATCCAAAGTTAACGCATGTGGCACCCACTCTGACAATAACTTTCTAGACTATAATCCATTTTTCGAAATATGAAACAGATTCATTTGAGAAGCCTATAACCTCAACAATTTCATACATAATCATTCGTTTATTTAAAACTGTATTGTTTATAGAAATATCAAATCTACGTTGGTACTGCATGCCTCGTCACGACTAAAGCTAACGCGAACAATCCGACTAAATTAGGTTGATCGTAAAACATCATCACTTTCTGATATCTTTACCATATCTTTTATATATATCTTTAAATCCTCATCTATGCGAGTATTCAATCAGCGCATAATTTAGAAGTCTTCCCATTTCCTAAGACAACACGAAGTACGTCTACCTCCAACGACTGTAAAAAAAAAACTTTGTTTCAGGACAGCTTGAAACTGCTCACGTGTTTATAGGGAGTATCTAGCAGTCCAATAAAGCAATATGTTTTCTGATACTAACGCCTTCTGT